AAAACTTTCATTGAAAAACTAAAAATCTAATGTTTTTTTAATTTAAATCATATTTGCATAATCATTTGGGACACAGTGTAGTTAGCAGTAATGAATAAACAGGTTTAAAAGGTTGGTTTAAAGTTTAGCTAAAAGTAGCCTAATGGATAAACAGTTGAAATGTTTAGCTAAAAATATTAACAGTTAAAATTATTAGCTAAAAGTAATGGATAAATTGTTGAAATGTCACTCAGTACGAATGCATCCTTGACCAGCGGGTGTGTAACTATCAAGTAGAAACCATTCAAAAACTCATTCTGGGAAGCGTAGCTGGCTGGAGTACAACATGTTGGGAACCACATCTATTGTTAAGAACTTTTTGCTAATAGTTTCAATCCATGTTACAGGAATGCCTCACCCCTTACAAACTTCCTTATCACTACAGTTGATGTGCATTACTGATATAACTCGGCCACGTATAAAAATGCTGACCAAGACTCATTGATCCTCAAAACTTTCTCACACAGCTTCTGAAACAGTAAGATCTTAAAGAAGAAGACCTGTAATTTCACCTGTAGGTACAGCTAAGAACATCACAATGAACAAATATCTGTGGAGCTGTGCAGCAATATTGACTCTGTTTGTTACAGGTAGGAGGTTTTTACTGTATTTCGTAGATAATAAGCAGAGCCTTTGTGAGACAGAGGGTTCACACAGTGTATTGACTCGAATACGGATCAATAAGATTTTGAGTTTGGCAATTTTTTTTAAAGAAATTATTTTAAAGTCTATCACACTTTGTAAACCTGTGACAAAACTGCATGAGAAATTCACAAAAAACACTGTTTTTCATAAACTTATTATCATACTTTTTGGAGCTTATACACTGTGCAGAAATAGGGCACCCAGTTCTTAAAGTGTATTTATTTGTGTTGTCAGAGCAGGACTGTGCTGTAGTTAATTAAAATGTGTTATGTTATTTGATGTGCACAGTGTAGGATATGTGACCTTAAATCAAGCTGCACCTATATTTGAGGCACCAAGTACGTGCATTTAAAGGGTCAGTTTACCCAAATAAAAAAAACACATATACACATATTTTGAGTGGTAACCAGCAAATATTCATGGTTTTATTAGTTTTTATGGTTTATCAGGAAGGATGAATTGCTGTTAAATGATATTTTCAATGTTCTGAGCATCACAAACATACTTCCATTACCAATATATTGAGTAGGAGGCAGAATTTTCAGAAATCTCAAAACTTATAAATTTACAATCTGTATGTAGCCCAAAAATAGGTGTGTCGTTTCATACAGCTTTCTTCAAAGTCACATCCTGGACTACATCCTTGAATCTTGAAAGGTTATGAAACAATCTCCTAATGTGTACTTTGTGATTACGGCATTGTTTGATAAAGGTGGAACAATGGAGTCAGATATTTGTTGCTACTGATTTAACTTATTTTCCTTCTGTATGACAAAAAGAAAGGTCCAAAAGCTTCTTTACAATTCGTTATTTTCTTGTTGTCTCCTCTCCCACAGTTGAGTCCCTCACCTGTAACACCTGTGATCTGTCTGTTCTCGGCTCCTGCTTCTTCGATTCTCCAGTAAGTTGCAACAAAAATCAGACCAGATGCTACATCGCAGTTGCCAGTAAGTTTGTTTGTTTGTTAGCAAGACAATCTAATTTAAAGTTACTGCACATCACCATAAACCTGAATCATGTATCAGGAACCTACATCTAAAAATAAAGTATATGTATCAAACATGTAATTTAGTATAATTTTCTTTTACTGCTTGTCTGCATTTATGGGATTACCAAACCAAATTCCTACCCTTAAAACTTTCCCTTTTTAATCATTAATTTAACTGTTCCATTATATTTTCAGTGAATATTAGCCAGTACATGATTGGACCAAAACAAGGTGTCCATACCCCAAAACACTATAACCCTAACACAGTTTTTATCCTTTTTAACAAGGACATTTCAGTGCTGCAGTTATTTAGGAGTACTTCACCAGCATTGCTGTACGCAGGCTTTTGGAAATACTGAGGTCCAAAAACTAAACTTGCTAGTGGGGTTTGGGGGCATCAAAGCATCAGAGTAGTTATTTTTATACAGTTATTTCATGACTTTTATTGTATACCCATACTGGGGACCTCAATAGTGGGTATGTGGCCATGCTCGTATCTCATCTACGCTTCCTCCAGATATTCAAGGCCTGTTGAATGTCCACGCACGAGGCTGCACGGTAGAATCCGACTGCAAAAACCAGACGGGACTGTCCATCCTGACTTATAAGTACAACATCACCAGGAGCTGCTGCAGCACCAACCTGTGTAATGGAGCCGCCTCCATCCAGCTGCCTCTGACTGCGGCTCTGGGTGCTGCGCTGGTGGCACTTTGGAGCCAATGGGGCCTTTAAAGAAGGAAGAGGAGGAAGAGAATGGCTTGCTCTTATTTCCATTATTTCCATCTTTGAGTTGAGATTTCTTGTCATACTTTTTTCAACACTTAATGTAAAAAAATGTAAAAGAAAAATCACTTTATTATGTCATAGCAATCTGCCCATTTAATAATAAACAGCCTGAACCCAATATACAATACATTTTCCCACATTTTGTAATAAATTATTACACACATTATACACACAGTGGTGACTATTATAAACATTTTGTTTTTTTAACTGCATTTTGAATAAACTGAAGCGTTTTGATGGTCTTTTTGGGGATCCCTGTCAAAAGACCACTGCAGCATCAACGCTGCTAGAAATAAAAGCGTGAATGAGGTTTTCCAGGTGACAAGTCCCTGAGTTTGGCTCATAAGATGATTATAATAAACTGATCTTGTAACTGCTTTTATGTAGCTATTTAGATTAAGATCACAGCCATTAGTTCATAAACGTCTTTAGAATGACTTCCTCCTATGGGATTTACATTAAGAAGTTGGTATTTATGGCAGGAAAGAGGTTTTGCCTTGTTTTTTTGAAATCAGTTTTATCCATTAAACTAAGTTTATAGAATAATACCTATTAAATAGGCTATAAATGATCCTGGACATTCAAATGAATGTATGTATGTAATATCATTATCTATAGCAGCTCTGTTATTTGGGAAGTTTAATTTAGGTTAATTACTTACTTTAGGAAGTTTAATTGTTCAATATGTAACATGTGCACATGAAGACATCAATTTTCATTGTTTATTACATAATACACCATATTATTACATTTTCAACATAAAAAAGTGCAACTCTGTTTTTTTGTCATAACCACCACAATGGACAAAAAGTACCTCCGGAAAGATCCAGTGGTGTCCATGTTTATGGAAATGTACCCAGATCTGTACATCATATCATATTTTATAAAAATTAAAATCTGTCAAAGATCAATGTCTGTATTGTGTGGCTATATGTATTAATTCAATTCAGTTAAATTTAATTTAATTTGTATGTATGTATGAAATTAGTTACATCAAAGACTCAAAGTCAGTTTTTTAGGATTAAATAAGATTCTTGATTAAGCCGCTTTTACCTGCAATTTTAAGTGGCACTAACTTAGTTTTGTAAGTTAAAGAAACATGCCTCATTAATAACTTTTTATTAATATTGTTATTTTTGTTTTCACAGCACAAATAATAGTTTTACTTGTTGTTTGAGTTATATGAACTCATCTGGTTTCACAGTGTACTAGTAGAAATGACTAACAATGATGACGATGACAACAATGATGATACAGACGACAATAGCCACAATGATGGGAAATGATGAATAATAATGATGATGATAATAATATGACTAATAATAACAAATATATATATGATGAGGTGAACATGTATTACATTTTAAGTTATTACATAATGAGGTGTTAGGTCACCAGCTTGAATCAAACCAGCGAAGATTATGACCTTGTGGCCACGCTATAACCATTCATCTACCAAGGTGCTCCATATTGTCATACTTCCCTAAAGTAAAGAATAAACTTCTCTGATAATTGTTGTAGCTCAATACTCCCAATATAAAGGGAGTGTCTCCTCAAACAATCCTATGTTTGTGGAGGATATTCTGTTATTGACTGAGGCTTTGGTCGCCATTGCAACGTGAAGCTTTTGAAAACGATTATGATGTCGCTTTATAATAAGCCACAAGTTCACAAAGGTTCAAACACACAAACACAAGTGCGTACAAACACAGGAATGAAAGTCATCAATTATCTCTTTTTTCTTTGTGTGGCTTTTTTAATAGAGTTCACTCTTCAAACGAACCTCAGTTTGTGTCTTTAAACGACGTCAACATGTTATAGAATATATGAGGGGCTAACAAATAAAAACCAGTGTCGACATTATTCTCCTGGTGGCACACCTTTTATATAAAAACAGATGTTCAGAGCCCATTAAGCTCATTGGAAACCCACTTCAGCGTTTATCTGTAGGAATATATCTTTGACCGCCTCTGCTGCATCGAGATCTTCTTCTCTGTGCTGATAATTTCTCGATTAAGACACAAATCTTTGTAAGAGCAAGATGGGAAAGTTGATCTGGGTCTGTGCGGCACTGATGGCAGTGTTTGTTACAGGTAAGAGCTCCAGACAGGAAGCACGCTTGTATATTTAAAGAGGAACTTTATCTACCTGAAGATGATCACTAAAACAGCCTTTTTACATGGATACAAATCAATAAAATCAGATTCACATATGAGGTGACAACTGAACGCTTTAATGCAGATCTTCATGATGCAGTTTATTATTATTATTTTATTATTTTTTATTTATACATTTTTCTTTTGATTGTTTTTTATCTGGTTAACATTTTAATATGTTTTATTACTTTCTTTTTTTTTTACATTTTAATAATAATAATAATAATAATAATAATAATAATAATTTGATGATTTGGTACATCCTTTTCTTTTTTTTTTTTTTTCATCTTTGCCTAATGCGGCATCCAGTGTTTCTTCTTCACTGCACTGTTTTATTGATTACAACTTCATTTATTACGTTGTGTGTGTGGAGTTGGGGTATTTTAATGTGTGACACACTTTGCTGTTATATTTTGTTTGTATAAAAAGTGCTCTAATTGATAAGTCTGCTTTATTGATTGATTGATTTAAATGTGTTAATACTTTCTGTACTGGGAAGAACTGTAGAACTGTTCAGTTCTTCATTTTTAGATATTTAGATCTACGGCCAATTATAAATCCAGTTTCTTACTGTATATCCACAAAGCTTAACAAACTGTATAGCTTTTTTGACCAGTCACTTTTATTAGTTTCTAATTTCTTTCATGGATGTTTTTTTTGCTGACTCATGACCTCAGTGTTTCTAAAATCGTGGCTATGGCCCTGAGGCTTAAAATCCTGTGTCATAAGTAACTGGAATTTTCTGTAATAGACAGAAATCTGTCTTTCTTTAATCCCTCTCCTTTGAGGTTGTTGTTAAATGGTCATATATCTATTCTCAAAATAGAACCATCAGAATCAGAAATTTATTGATCCACAGGAGGAAATTGGTTAAGTTACACTTGTTCAAGTTGCTAAACAAAGAGAATTACAATAAAATAGAAGTATGTTAAATATGTGCTTTATACTACAATATATAGCAACAATATAAATATAGAAAAAAGGAAAATATAAAATAAGAATGAGTGTGTTAGAATATGTATATTATACTACAGTATACAACAATAATATTAAGAATTAATTAATTTAATTAATTAATAAAATAAGACATGTAAAAATATGTAAAGTATGATATATAACAGCAGTGTAAAGAATAAATTGCTTTGTTATTCTAACAATGAAAACAGGTTTTAACCTTTGAAGATTGTAAGGAAGTACTGAACTATATCAAGCTTGAGAAACCACAACAGCTCTATCAATACTTCACATCATTTGGAAACCTGTTTCGAACCACAAACTTCTTGACATGTTTTATGTCCAGGAACTCGGATTGGGTGGGAAGGTTATACGTGGGGCTTTTTGTAAAAACTGTAACAGATATAAAACCATAGAAATGAATAAAGAAAATACTAGTTTAAGTATATTTATAACATTGTAGCATGTTTAAATGCTGTTTCTGAATATGATGACGACTTCTGTGATGACTATGATAACACCGTGATAAACTGTGGTGATTTCTTGTATCATGGAGTTTTGTCACTGTGGCTATCTGACTAATTTTCCTCCTTTGCCTAACGTAAAGTATAAAGACTTTCCTTTCTTTGTTAGCCTTTTTGTCTCTTCTCCTAAATCTCTCCTTCCCTCTGGATCACAGGTGAGTCCCTGACCTGTAACACCTGCAGAGTGGGGCTCGCAGGTAAATGTCTGTTCGGCTCCTCAATGACTTGCAGTGACTCTCAGCCCAACTGCTACTGGGGAAAACTTGGTGAGTAACATTGCACTGATCACAACCTCCATAAATATTGTATGAATGACACCAGATGGGTGTGTGTTGTTCCTCAACCTTGTTAAATTTGTATTTGAATTGAATTTTCTAACCACAATCTATTTGACACTATAGAAGATGAAAACCTGCCAAAAGGTTGAGGTGTGGCCGGACGCCAAACAAATCTAGTGTTTCATCACACAGCAGTCCGACAGTGATTTTCTGCTTTCATTTTTAGAGACAATGGACTTGTATTAAGAACCATAGCAATGTGTTTGCATTTACTTAATATAACATACTGTATACTTGAGGATGAGCAACTCCATTATCTATATCTGTTTCTGTTCAACCAACTAAAGTATCTGTATCTGAATGGGTGGGGCCTCAAACAGGCTGAAATTGATATGGTTGATCAAAGGCTGGTTTATTTATTAGAAAACTATTCACTGAGCGGCCTCAGCTAAAATGTTTTATTTTTATGTTTGATGCAGCCTTGTCAAAAAATTTACTTGAAACTAATTTATTTAACTCTTTTAGGCTAGTATGTAGTTAGTAGCTAGTATTTAGTATGTGACTGAAAATATGCCAACCTGCAGGCTGACTCTCTGATTTATTGTATCACATTTGTTTAATCTGAACACAAACAGAAATGTAAGGGAGTTCCCAGGCTTTGCCTAGAAACAGTAGTTAACAGCATGAAAATCCTCGTAAAACCAAAACGTGTGATTTATAATTTCTGTTTGTTTTCAGATTAAACAAATGAGATAATGTGTTTTACAGAGTTGCTAGATGGATTTTTGTTTTTTTAAATGTGGATTGTGGACAGAGCCAGGCTAGCTGCGTTTCCAGTGTTTCCAGTTCCGAGTTGTTAGCAGTTACACCAAGGAGACATGTATTTTAATTTAATTTTAATAACTGTTTGACTCTTACGTTGGGAACCACTGGACTACATTTCCTAACTGTAGTAGCCCCACAGTGAGCAGCTACAACAGTATAATGCTACTACACACTGATTAATCTGTATCTATTATAATAATATGCCAATAAAAGGCCATTCTTTTTTTTTAAGGATACTTCAATGACACTGCTAATAGTTTAATATATTTAATAAGGTCCCACTCTGAAAGTCTGAATACTTTTGACACTTTTGTAGAATTTTGAATGCAGGACTTTCAGGTGTACTTTTAACTCAGTACAGGATCTTAATACTCCATAAATGACACACTGAGTCAGACACAGAGTGATAATGTGCACTTTTTATAGTCTATATAAAGAGTTTAACAAAGGCTGCTGATCTGCGTGCCCCTCCTTTCAGCCTTTAACATCAGTAGGCTGATGAGCCTGGAGACTCAAGGTTGCCTGGCCTCTTCTCTCTGCAACCAAACTGAATCCGGAGCCCTCCTCACTGCCGGATACACCGTCACCAGGACCTGCTGCAGCATCGACCGCTGTAATGGAGCCACATCCATCCAGCTGCCTCTCACTGCTGCTTTGGGCGCTGCCATACTGGCCATTTGGAGCACCAGAGGCATTTAAAACAAGCAAAAAAATGATCAAATTCATGTTGTTGTTTTTCACTTAATAAACCTTGAACACATGCCTATATTGTGATACTCTCATTATTGTAACTTCTGAGCATTTAGGGTTTTAATACACAGTTTAAACATGTATCACAAATGGAATCCTTTACTACATGTAGGTGAACAAATAATAAAAGTTCCTTGAACTTAATTACTGTGAGATTTTCTCCAGGCTGTAAATTCAATAGCTGAGAGGGGTTTTCCAGTAGAGACTGAAGAACTTCCTCTTCATGCTACTAAAACAAAATACCTGATGAACCTCATTCTTGCACAGTACCCCTTCCTTGAGTCGTACCTTAAATACTGTCATTGCCTTTTCAGAAGCTCAGTAGACTGAGACAGGTGTTTAGACCTTTACATTCATTTTCTAGGAAAGAATCTGTTAACCTTGTAACCCCAGGAAGGATGAATAACTTCTTCAAAGCAGTGATTGTCCTGAGTGCCTTCATCGCAGCGGGTAAGTTTAGAATAATATTGAACTCCTGAGGTTTAAATGAGAGAATCAATAGACCTACACTAAATCAGAATCAGAATCAG